AAAAAAAAAAAAAAAAAGTGCTGAATTTTTGCTGCACATGCTTAAAAATGCAGAGAGTAATGCTGAACTTAAGGGTTTAGATGTAGATTCCCTGGTCATTGAACATATCCAGGTGAACAAAGCACCCAAGATGCGCCGCCATACTTACAGAGCTCATAGCTGGATTAACCTATACATGAGCTCCCCCTGCCATATTGAGATGATCCTTACTGAAAAAGAGCAAATTGTTCCTAAACCAGAGGAGGAAGTTGCACAGAAGAAAAAGATATCCCAGAAGAAACTGAAGAAACAAAAACTTATGGCACAGGAATAAATTAAGCATAAAATAAATGCAAATAAAAGTAATGTTTGCCATTATTAGTAAAAAAAAAATGAGGATAATAATGCCTATTTCTTAAGATTCTTGTACAGATTAATCAAAGTAACATCTAAGGGGCTTTGCATGTAGGCACTTAATGTTAGTTCTGCTCACCTTCTCTTCTTCCAGAGAAGGCAGTAAACCTTATGCAATATGATCTTTCCCTCAGATCTTCTTTTTTTTTTTTTTTGTCTTTTTGAGACAGGGTCTTACTATGCAGTTCAGACCGACCTTGAGCTCACTTTGTAGCCCAAGCCTCAAACTCACAATGATCCTCCCGCCTCAGTCTCCCAAGTGTGAGTGCTGAGATTATAGGTGTGTGCCACCATGCCCAGCTCTTCTTGCATTTAATGAACAGCACCCCCCCTCTGAAAAATCTGTCCCTCCCTCTGAAACATCACTTCCCACCCCAACCCTGTAGCAGACAGTCCAGTAGCTTTTCTGCTCACTGAATTCCCATTGAGAAATCAGTACATAAATAGTAACGTGATTTCTTTTCACTTTTGTTTGGCATGTAATAAGGTTGTTGTGATTCTGGGAACTCTGAGATAAGAAACTGTCCTTTGTAGTCATACCTTCTAGGAAACACATTTTTTGAAAAAAGCAAAGTGGGTCACTTATTGCTAACTTGCACGCGCGTGTGTGTGTGTGTGTGTGTGTGTGTGTGTCTGTAATCCCAGCACTCTGGAAGTCTAAGGCAGAAGGATCAAAAGTTTGAACCCAGACTGGGCAACTTAGTCATTTACTTGGACCCTATCGCAAAATAAAAATTTTAAAGGGGCTGAGAGGTCGCTCAGTGCAAAGGCCCTGGGTTCAATCCTAAGTAACTTCCCCCTCCTTGCACACACACATAAAGAAACAGAATGAGAAAGTTGATTGCCTTAGAGCTGAAACCAATGTGCCATGTCTGGCTAATCCAAGGACACAGTATAGGAAAGGGGCTACATGAGCACTTGGCACCATTAATTTTTTTTTCTTATTCTCTTAATAAATTCCTTCATTATTCTAGTGGCTTTTTAGTTAATTTTTTTCTAATGAGACTAGGTTAAAATCATCTGACATGGAAAAGAAGGAGGTAAGGTTAAAAAGGGACCTAATTAGCAAGTTAATTATAGCAGGCAAAAAAAGCGCAGTAGTTACATAAATAAGCTATTGTATGCGCATGCAAGTTGGGCCTTGTCAAGGGACTTGTTAAGGTTTAGAGGTCAGAGGATCCATGTAATTAGGTGTTTAGAAAAAATAATAATAAAAGCAAAACAGCTACCAAAATTAGGAATGGTTGATGAGCCACTAACAGAACTGCCTTATTAAATTAGGACGTTGCTACTGAAGGGGTTATTGGAGCTGCTTCAGAGATTTCAACACAGGATAGCCCCCCCCTTCAAAAAAGAAAAAAAGGAAGAAAAAAAGAAAAAATCTAGCTGGAACCAGAGCCAACAGAATTGCTGATGAGGAAAGTTTAAAGGCCTGGCCACAAGGGTCCTTGGACCATAGAGGTGGCAGTAGGGCTGGTAATGTCACTATGCTGAGCAGCAAGAAGAAATACATTGTGAATGGCAACTCTGGGATTAAAGCCCAGGTGAGGCTAAGCTCTTATTTACCAGTCTTGTTGCTGCTGTGGTTATTATTGTCCAAGGCCAGCTGCTTATACTCTCTTTCCCCTCCTGTCCTGCTTTCATTCCTCCCTGTGGCTCATGGTGAGCTCCCCCTCTCATAGCAGCACCTTTCCCTCTCTTGCTTTGACTCCTGTTGGAATTAGGCAGTGCTCTCTGAGATGGAAAAGGAAGGTTACCTGAAAGGACTCTGGTTTCAGACAAGGTAGGAAAGTCAGGGGTAGAATCGGTCAAGGTATCACAACTGGGGTGGGCAGGCCATTGTATTACAAAATGGACTGTTGAGTGAAGAGTATAGTAGAATTTAACTTGTGAAGGGTGGTGGGCACCAGGGATGATTCACTTAACTCATTTTCTGGTTATCAATGAAAGATAAGCATTTCATAGGAAAATTGTGTAACTTACTATAAGTTGTTAGTTTCTCTCTATTGTTCTTCTGTCTTAAAAAAAAAAAAAAAACACTTGAATTTAAAAAGAACCCTGGATTCATTGTCTAACCAGTAAGCAAGAACCCTATGTTCTAAATGCAGAGCCTATTCTTTAATGCCAAAAGATAGCCTGAACTTGTCCTGAGTGAAGGGATTTCATTAAGTGGAAGAAACCATAGAGAAAGGAGCTCAGCCTAGGGCAGTGGTGACAAACCTATAGCAGGTGTGCTGCAGAGGACTATTTGTATCATTGAGAGCTCTAAAAGGTTTGCCACTGCTGGCTTAGGGAAACTGGTTTGAGATGGCAGTGCAGGTATCTATATGGCTTGGTGTTACTGGGGTAAATAGATATGAACTCACTCTAGTCCTACAAATGTAAAGAATGAAAGTGGCCCCCTCTAGTGGTATGTGTATGTGCATGTGTGCACATGTGTGTACATGTGTGATTTTTTTGCTAGTGCTGGGGGTGTATTCTGTATTGAAGGCAGGGTTTGTCTGGGGACCTTTTTTTTTTTAAGGAGGCACTGCTGAAATTAGTGACTGTGGCCTTTGGAAAGTCAGTTATTATTCTTTTCCTAGAATAAGGACATGTGACTATAGTGAACAAGGTTGGTGAAATGAACTCCAGTTTTGAGCCTGTCTGCTGTCTACCTCCCCAGCTTCCCACCCTGTTCACCTTTCCATCTTTTCTTGCCTTTAAAAATTACTTTAACTTTAGATTTGGCTTATGCTTGCTATGTTAACTGAATATTTAACCAAGTACAAACTTAAAATAGAATAAGCAACTTCAGGTTCATTGATTCAGCACATGACTGAGTGCCTAGGATACGCAAGAGCTTTGTGTCTGAGTATATAAGGCAAATAAGGTACCCACCCCCTGCTTTCATGGAGCCTATAATGTATAGAGTAAGGCAGGTAGACAGATGGTGATATTCTATAATGAATTCTGTACTAGAGGAAGCATGAAAGTTCATGTGCATCCGTGAGAGTGCATAGAAAAGGCTCTTTATCCTTTTGTAATAAATTGCTACTTTAGCATAATAATCAAATTTGTCATTTTTCATTTTGCAGTGAGCTTCTAATCCAATGAATTTTTCTATTGCTGAAAATAACTTGCAAACTTTGAAGCACTACGCAGACTTTATTTGTTGTTATGGCTATGGAGATGCTGTGATTTCCCCTAAGAGGCAATGAATGCTAAGCTAATTTAGTTTGGCTTTGGTCCCCTTGTTTCAATATTCAGATGGCTCAGAAGCTACCTCTAGCTGCAGGAAGTATAGCTGTGAGTTGCTGTTTTCATTCTGGTATGTTGTATCTATGTTTTGTCCATTAAGGATCCATCTTTCTATCATTGGAAATATAATTAGTTGTCAGATCTTTATCCTTTTCAGACCTTCTTCTGAGCCACCTTCAATCCAGAAGACTAATCTAAACAATTTATATATTCAGTTAGGGAAAAAGAAAAAGTTATCAACTCAATAAATGATATGGCTTTGATTGATAAATTACTATAAAGTGTCAGATGGGAACCTTTAGCTGCAAGAGATAGAGGTAAAATTGCAAGAAAGTCATTATGAGATATTGTCCAAATGCAGCCTACAGAATATAGCCTGAGGTTTATTTAGTCTAGTCATCCACTCTGTCTATAATTGTTATGTTACAGTTCATAAGTGAGCAAGTTTGTGGCTTCTAGGTATTTTATGATACCAAACATAAAAATAATGAATTAGTATTTATTTACTAGTAACAGAAAGGTAGCTAATACATTTTAGAAAGTCTTTAATAAATTAAAGTGGCTACCTCTAAGAGTTATAAGAACCCTATTGAAATGTAGCGGTGAGGACAGGAAGTAAATTGATTGAATCTCCTCCTGTGTTTTATCATTTATATGCATTGTCCCATTGAACCCTCTCTAAAACCTGTGAGGTAAGTGCTTTTATCTCTGTTGTATTATGAGAAAATGATGCTCACTTCATCAACATCAAACATCTGTGAGTGGCATAACCAGATGTGGGTGCAATTCCAGAATGTTCAGTCTGAATGAAAAGCCGTTTTCCAAATTAATATACCAAACCATTTTTTTATTGTTGTATGGTACCGGGAATTGAACTCAGGATCTTGCATTTGCCAGGTACGTGCTGTGCCACTGAGCTATATCCTCGGCCTTCCTAAGAATCTTGAAACCTAAAAGCAAGTCATCTTATTTTTTTAATACCTCGCAGTTCTCTCTTCTAAATATGTGAAGGTTATGGATGTACGTACATTCTCAAAGATTTTTTCCAACTTTAATTTTTGTGAGGCTATACAAAGGATTTCTGAAAATGATTGAATGTCTTAAAAATTAATTAAAACTAAAACATCTCTTTCTCCTTTTTTGTCACAATTTTATTGTAAAAAGGATAGATTTAAATTGAATAGAAACATAGTAGTTGAAAAATGAAGAATTACTCTTCTCTCTGAAGAGTCTTAGTATTCCAAATATGGGTTGGTACGTTCAAATCAACTGCAGGGAAAATAAAAGCCTGTAGTAGTGCAGGCTTTTAGTTGGTGTCTCAAAATTGAAGTTCTTATCCTTTAAATAACTAGAATTCTTTTTCTTAGCAGATCCAGTTTGCTGACCAGAAGCAAGAATTCAACAAACGTCCCACCAAAATTGGACGCCGCTCTCTGTCTCGTTCCATTTCTCAGTCATCTACTGACAGTTACAGCTCAGGTGAGTACTGAGCTGCCATGAACCCACCTGTCAAGACTAAAAGGTGTGATCAGCAGACCCTCCCATCTGTCCAAGGCCAATTACGCTTGATTAAGTCTTTGCCTTGAAAGGTAAAAGCTTTTGAGTCAAAATTTAAACCAAAATTCTGAATGGAACCTTTGGCTTCTCTTGGGAATTGAGAGTACTGATGAATGGAGGCCTTCTCTTTCAAGAAAGGCAGAAGAGGATGGTTGAGGAAATTGAGTTCTTTGATCCACTCAGAAGGATAGGAGTATGTAGTTCACTGATGACCTTCACTGAACGTCATGTATAAAGACATTTTTTCTATCCTTTGAAAATAAAAAGGAAGTTATCATTCATCCATCTGGTAGTTGCAAATTAATGGGGAAACCTCAGTTGCTCCTAGAAACAATGAAGACATTGTAGCTATTTCAAGCAAGCAGGCCCTCTGCCTTCTCTGCAAAGCTGTAACATTGTGTTGCTTGTCACTCCTTCCTTTGCAGTGGTATTAATTCAAATATATGTGCCCTGGGACTGAGCTGTCATCTAATACCCCATGAACTATTACTGCGTGGGGCCCCTTGAAGGCACTGGTTATTTGTGCAGCAGTGCCCAAGTATGAGTCTGATCAAATATGTGGCTATTTTATTTTGCTCTTGTGTTAGAATGAAGGAGGGAGCCCAGAGTTTACCCTAGTTACCTGTTCACATTATAATAGTAATATTCATTTAAAAAGTTTTATCATGATCTGAAATTTTATTTGTCCTTTACACAAATAGGAAATTAGTATTTGTTAAAGAAAGATTGTTTAGAGTTGGGTGTGGTGGCACATGCCTATAGTTCCACCACTTAAGAGGCCAAAGCAGGGGGATCACAGCAAGTTCAAAGCCAGCCTGGGCTACAGAGTGGGGTCAAGGTCAGCCTGGGCTGCAAACAGACAAAAAAGAACAGTTGTTAGGGAAATTATATCTTTTAGTTTGAATAGATTAGATTGTTATTTACCCATCTTTTATTTTCTGTTCTTACTTTCACTGTGTAATAACTGTGAATGAAATAAAGCACATGACATAAATTCCTATAATTTTTATTTGAAGATAGGAAATTTTATATCTGTCCTATTCTGGTGAAATAAACAGTGTTGAAAATTTATGAACTGGTTACAATAACTCTGAAAGCCATCATAACTGTGAAAATATGAATTGAACTTTTTAGGTTCATGTGTTAGCACGTTATCTAAAGATTAATACTTAATAGTAGTGATACTAAATTTTAACTCAAGCTCAATCCATGTATCCAGTGTGTTCCTGCAGAGGAAACCAATGCCTGCCTTACCATCCAAGTCTCCTATGTAGGAAAAGTACTTACAAAATATCCCTGTACCTAGAATAATGTAGGTGATGCCCTTGGTTTCTAAGTGAACACATAGTTACCTGGACCTTTTAGATTGAACCATATGAAATTTCCATTTTCAGCTGAGTATGGTGGTACATCCCTATAATCAGCTACTCAGGAGGCCTCTGAGGCAGGAGGATCAGAAGTTCACAGCCAGCCTAGGCAATTTACTGAGACCCTGACTCAAAAAATTGCTAGGAGTATAGCCCAATGGTAGAGTGCCCCCACCCCCAGGGCGGTAGAAGGTGGAGAAGGAAAGCAGGAAGGAAGGGGTCGGGGAAGAGAAGAAAAAAGAAAAACATCTGGCCATTTTTATGCCAGAAATTATGGACCTAATATATCCACCTAAGGATATTAAATTTAGCACTGGGAATCAAAACAGTCTGGCAACAGAAAAGATCTTAAAGGTATAATTTACTGGCTGCTGAAAGTACCTCTGTGGCATCCCTGGCAATTGTCCACCTGGTATCTTTGGTGGCATGTTAGATGATAGAGTACTCCAGTTACTTATCACCTGATAAGATCTTTTATAATAAATGTAAACATTTTACTTAGAAATAAAAGTCAGCATTTTCTTTTTTTTTCTTTTCCATTTTTCATTTATTTAAAACTTAAGACATTTTACTCAGTTTTTAACTCATTCTTTAAATTTTTCTTTAGGTCTTTTTAAAAGATTACACTGATAACTTGGTGTGTAATAGTTTGAAAAAATGATTCGTATGTGATGATTAGGGCTAACAGTATAAATTTAGGTTTGGTTTAAACAGGAAGTTTTGAGCAATATCAACTTTTCAGCACAAAATTTTTCATATTGTATCTGACAGAAAATATCTTTGGGTTTGTAGATCATAGAGGAGAAAATCTAGGTCACGTGCAAAAGCCTAGCACATTAACTTATTAAAAATTCACCCACAATAGGGAACCTAATCAGATACTTGTAGTTTTGCAAGGCATTAGTGAATTGGGGACTGCAGTGTGATTTCAGCCAGCTCATCTGGTTGTCAAGTGTTCAGTCACATTCTACAGTCCTTTGTGGACTGCTATTTTCTGTTGTCTTGTTTGCAGAAAAGGGCATTCACTTTTTCTGTACATACATATATATTTCCTTATGTAATATAACACAGTTATTAGCAGAATTTTAATTCTACTTTCAAATTTATTCAATTGCTAGACCTCACAGAAATTAGTATATTTAAGAATTTATTATAATAAAGCTCCTCTACAACTTTTAAAGTGAGAGGTTCTATTATGATTTTTTAATAAAATCAGACAACATGACTTAGAATATCAGTCTTCTACTTAAAATGTGTCTATATTCATGTTGTTTCCATTCAGTGCAGACATGGTAGGGTAACACTAGTCATTAATGGTTAGTTTACTTCTAGCAGACTACCAGAGCACCACCTAAACATGGTTTCAGCAACTTGAGAAAAGTACTTTAAAGGGTTATAAACTGTACCCACTTGAGCCTTTAACTAATATCTAAACATCTGCTCTTACAGTGGGCTTTATCCTTTGGCACACCATCTAAGGTTTGGTCATACCAGCAAACTGAAAGATTTCAATGTAAATAAAGAATTTATATTAATATTACTCATCTGTTTAACAGTATTTTAGAAACAGATTTATTCCGTTTATGTCCACTAGTGGCAATATGGTTTATGGTAAAAGTCAGGATTTTTGATTGTCTGATTTTGAGGCATCCTACTCTCCTACATTAAGCTCATCTGGATGCATTCCAGATTAGATACCTCTTTAAAATAGTATATCTATGCACATAATATTCCAAATATGATCTGGCCTAATCTGTAGGAAGTGTTAGTTCCATAAACTCATTGTTTTTATTTATATTTCCCACTTCCCTTCCCTGACTCAGTGTTTTTAAAATGAAACCTAAGGCTGGGCTGGGGATTTAGCTCAGTGGCACAGCACCTGCCTGGCAAGCGCAAGGTCGTGTGTTCGATTCCCAGTACCGGGGGTGGAGTGGGGGGGTGGTGGTGGTAAGAAACCTAAGGTATTTGCTTCTTTAGCAGCTGTATTACCCCCTAACCTCTGTGTGTGTGTGTGTGTGTGTGTGTGTGCATGTACACGCACACACACAGACACACACACACTGTTGATTCTTTTATTGGTGGTTGTTTTTGTTTTATTACCTTCTCATGAACAGTTGAAAAGCTCTTCTAAATGAACTCTGAAGCTGGGCGTGGTTGTGCACACCTGTAATCCCAGCACTCAGGAGGCTGAGGTAGGAGGATCGTTGCAAGTTCGAGACCAGCCTGGTCTACAAAGTGAACTCAAGGCCAGCCTGAACTGCATAGCGAGACTCTGTCTCAAAAAGACAAAAAAAAAAAAAAAGAGAATTCTGAATAGATATACCTACTGCCTTGCTTCTTGTACTGGGAGTTAGACGAGCCCTAGTTTCTAATGTCTGGTCCATGTATGAATTGTTCTGTGATCCTGGAAAGGCTTACCTCCCACACACTTGTAGCAAAGCATAGGAAGTTATATGAAATCGTACAGAAAGATGTTGTGCCCACTGATTGAAAAGTCAGGAATAGCAGAATTGACTCAGCTGATATACAAGTGCATGTTGATAAGAGCTTTTTCAGCATGCATTATAATTTAAATAAACTATAGAAGTTAACATTGAGGAACCCCAAAAATTGACCCTTGAACCTTATCCTTGTTTATATACTTTCTCCCTAAATAAAGTCATTCAGTTTTGTAGTTTTAAATGCTATGTATTAGTGTTTGACTCTTACTTTTCTGCTCAGCTCTTCTCCCTATACACTAGATTCCTATATTCAACTGTCCTCTCAGTCTTAGATGTTTTATCGGCATCTAAAACCTTCCATGTCTTAAAAACTGATCTCCTGAGTCCATCCTTTCCCATTTTTAGGCTATTCTCAACTTCTACAGCCAGTTCATTCTTCTAAAATAAATCAGGTCAAGCCTCTTCCCTACCACCACCCAGCACTGGGGATAGAACCCAGGGCCCTATACATGCTAAGCAAGTAGTCTACCCCTGAGCTATGCCCTCAGCCCCAGAAATACCCTTAATATACCTTATATTGGCCAGAGGTATAGCTCAGCAGCTTAAGCCTGGCAAGCCTGAGGTCATGAGTTCAATTCCCGGTACCAAAAAAAACAAAAAACAAACAAACAAACAAACAAACAAAAAATATATATATACACCTTATACATTGTTGATGTTTCTAATATACTTTATATATATATAAACAGGCAAAAGGTTTATGAATATCTATATCTATATATCTATATGATACCTTTCAGAGTTATAGTAACCAATTCATATAATACCTTCCTGTCCACGGTCTTTGTTTTCTTTAACCTACTTGGAGGCTTAAATAAGCTGAGTATTGCCACACTTTCATTTAGAAACCAAGGTTCCTCACCTCAATTGCAGAACACAGACAATGATTTGATAAGATGTTGCATTACTAATTTCTTTCTAGATGTGTGGGAAATTAATTCATTATTTACAATAGATGCTTCATGGCTTTGGGACTTAATCCTAAAGGAACATAGGTAGAAAATGACTGCATTAATCCCTAAAATTTTTTTACAAGAAATAAGCTCTTAAAACA